GGCCTGTAAACCAGGAGTTTCAGACCACTATGTTAGGGTATAAATAGGCCCTCAAACAAAGGCCTTATGGTATACAGTATGTAACCTATTGTTGTAAAGTGTTTCATTTTGAAGATATCATAAGATAAAAGGGTTCTTGGAAGAACCGTTCATAGAGGGTTCAAGGTAGAACCCTTCAAAGATAAAAGGGCTCTCAGTAGAACCCTTCATAGAGGGTTCTAGGAATAATCTTTAGATAATAAAAGGGTTCTTGGTAGAACCATTTATAGAGGGTTCTAGGAAGAAACTGTCATAGAGGGTTCTAGGTTGAACCATTTACAGAGGGTTCTATGAAGAACCCTTCATAGAGGGTTCTCAGTAGAACCCTCTGTAAAGGGTTCTACCTCGTACCAAAAAGGGTTCCCCTATGGGGACAAGCCAAAGAACTCTATATCTTTTTTTTTATGAGTGTACTCGGCACTTTCAATAAAAGGAAAAAATACCCTTATATCAGTTCTGTATTTCTAATTGTTTTCTTCATGTGCAGTTCACACTGGTAAACTTGGGTTTCAAAGTCCAATGCCAGAACAATCAAGTTTGTTCTGCTCTGACACAATAGTTCTGGCTGTTTTGGTGTTTTGGCACTCTTAGAAAAAAAGTTCCAAAAGGGTGCTTCGGCTGTCCCCATAGGAGAACCCATTTTGGTTCCAGGTAGAAAGAAGCCTTTTAGGTTCCATGTAGAACCCTCTGTGGAAAGGGTGCTACATGGAACCCGAAAGGGTTCTACCTGAACAAAAAAGGGTTCTTTAAAGGATTCTCCTATGGGACCTTTTTTTCTATGAGTGTACCACAGTGTTGCGTGCGTGCGTGCGTGCGTGCGTGCGTGACATTACCATCATGCTTTATGCATGAGGACCAGCAGTCCTCCGGTCAGGATAGGAGAGTGTCCCAACCCAGGTCTGGCCAACACTGATCTTCTTCTTCCAGCACACCATTTACACTCCGGTTCAACTCATTCTGGTCTAAATGGAAGATTATGGTTAGTTTGTTTAGTTGAATCAGGTGTGTTAGAGCTGGGCTGAAAGGAAAACCTGCACCATCACACCATCTTACTTGCACAACTTGCGCTCATGTCCAGCTCCGTGCAATCAAACTTGTGATGTTTTTTATGGTTTCCGTGCAGTGACAGACTGGTTCTCTGCTGAGTCCTTCTCTGAGGAGTTGTAAAACAACAGGAGAGCAGGCTGAGCAACAGTGGGCAACGCAACCAGTCAATTCGTCATCCCTTTTCCCCATCATGATGGTAGGAACACTGCCTTGGACGTCAATAGCAAGGTCTATGCCAGGGGGTGTTACCCAACCCTGTTTTTATGTTATTGTCCAGCGCTGCCTGACACTATCCTTACTGAGAAAGCAGGGGCACTTCCTGAATCAACAGTAGCAGCAGCCAATCACAACATTCCATTTCCAACATGAAGTTAAACTGTGTGGGACCGCAGCCCTGGTTAGATGCCCATGGCTGTATCTCATTCCAGAGAGTTGGTCCCTTCATTTATCCTAGCTCCTTTACAGATCTGACACACTGGAGAGGTGGAAACAATAGTGGAAGGGGTATTTGAAGGGGGGCATGAGGCAGTCATAGCACCATCATAGCGCTAGCATCTGTTGAAGACCCTTGTCTGCCTAAGATATATATATATATTTGTTTTTCCATAAGACTACATTACGTGAAATAAACATGAATATATATTTATATATGATTGTTCCAGTTATCATGTCATATATGTTTGTTCCAGTCATTATGTAATGTTATTTTCAATGTCAAGTTGACCTCATTATTGAGTTTAGTTGACATGACCTGTACCATGTTAGGATACCTTTAGGGTCAGAGCTACATGATAACCTACATTGATTGACATACTGATACTTACTTGCATTATGTGAAAATTGGATTATAAACTGCAAGATTTATATCAAGTGACAGGTGGGGATTTAAATGCGGTGAAGTTAGAAGCTATTGCCTACACAATCCAGTTCTGATTCCTGTTATTTTTTAACAGTGGAAGTAAAAAACTTTTTCGTAATGAGATGCAGCCCAGAGTCTGTAATTTCTAGTCGAAGAGAGAAGTTGCTGATTTTCCATGCTTTGTTTTTATTTAAAAAACAATAACTTTATTATTTGTGATGATATCATGTTCCTGATAAAAATACAGTCACTGGGCCTCAGCTTATTACCTTTCCCAGAACTATTTGACGTATAAGATAAATGCTTTGAAGATATCCAGCACATTTCTTTCATTCTGTCATTATCCCAGCTGGAATGGGTTAAACCTGTTAAACTCTGAGAGGTTGTTTTGGACCAGATGCTTCATTTGAAAGCTACAGCCCTTGTCTTTTTGGAAATCAAACTATCTTGCTGCTGGGAATGTCATAAGAATCTGGAACAGTGACTCACTACCCAAACCAGATGCAGCTGGTTTCAAGTGTCCAAGAGATGTCATGTGATCACTTACTGCTCTCTAGTGTATGAACTGGGAATCAGTTAGGGGGTATATTTACATCAATGGATAGGTAGAGACTTCAGCTTTCTCCTCATATGTATATCATTCCTGTAAGACGAAAATTACATTGCACAAGCCCTGTGCTTTTAAAATGGCTGTGTTCCTATGGGAATTTGCACATGATTAGAACATACCATTAGGTAAAAGATCTGACTTATTATTATACATTATTTTTGGAACAGTAATTGGTGACATATTTTATGTAAAACTTAGACTTTCAAATCTCTTATCCCCCCACCCATGTTAACATTACCTAAACATGACCTAAAACAGGTTCATTATAAAGAGCACCTTTCCAGGTGACAGTATCTGAGGCGTGTGCATTGCATACCTCTGCTACATTGCTAACACATTGGGTTAATCAGTGTTGATTGTCAAAATAGTATAATAGTGCATAACTCTGATTTGAACTTGGCCTGTAAATTACAACATTACAATTTCTGTTTTTTACTCCTCCCGGATTCCCAATTTCTCGACCAATAACATTTAGAGTATGTGTGTGAGGTATGTGTGTGACGTGTGTCTGAGGTGTGTGTGGAGTTACAGTAAGTGTTTGAGGCCAGGGGACACATTCCTGCCCAGATTTCTGTGTGATTAGATCCCCCCTTTTACGCACGGAGAGCAACCCTTCCTCCCTCTCTCCCTTCCTCCTTCCTCCCCACCCCATGTTAGTGTCCCAAGAGACACAGAGAAAACAGAGAACTGGAAATGATGGAGATAATTTCTCCTCTCTCTTTCTCTCTCTCTCACTCTCTCAACCCTCCCTCTAAACCCACTCTTTCCCTCTCTCTCCCTCTTGCTCATTAAACTTTATTTTACTCTCTCTCTCTCTCCCTCTCTCTCAAACCCTCTCTAGATCTTTCTTTCTCTCTATGTCTCGCTCTCTCTCATCTCTCTTTTACTCTCTCTCTCTTCACTTCCTGTGTTCCAAACACAGACCTGTGTCTAAACAAAACATTGCCCCTGAACATCAAATATATAACTATTTCACAAAAGTGTTCCCAGAACATATACAGCCATAACAAGCTAAATGAATGGGAGGTAATGATGTTGTTAAGGGGTGGAGAAGTGTATGTTTGATTGTGCTTGCGTGCATCCGTGCGTATGTGCTTGCGTGCATACCTGCGTGCATGTGTTTGTGCATACGTTTTGGCATCTCTGGTGAAATTATATCAGAGTGATCACTCCACTTTCTCAGATTGGGATTCTAGACTGTTTCCTCAGACTGTGACCAGAAAGGCTGTGACCAGTAGGGCTGTGACCAGAAAGGCTGTGACCAGCAGGGCTGTGACCATTAGGGCTGTGACCAGCAGGGCTGTGACCAGTAGGGCTGTGACCAGAAAGACTGTGACCAGTAGGGCTGTGACCAGAAAGGCTGTGACCAGTAGGGCTGTGACCAGAAAGGCTGTGACCAGTAGGGCTGTGACCATTAGGGCTGTGACCAGTGCTGCTGTATTAGTGTCCCTGGGACCACCAGAGCTGTATGACCAGAGTTCTGGCACCATGTTATTGTCCCTCCAGCGGTTCTGTAATCAGACCCTCCATTCATCAGACACTGATCTGATCCCTCCAGTCCCCGTGTTCTGGGAGTCGCAGTACTCAATTATCCTGTAATGACATTAACCGTTTCTCTCATACGAGTCAATGAGACATGCATCGATGAGATAGGGACTAGCCTAATGGTGACAGACACTCATGTATTGTAGTCACACACACGCACACACACACACACACACACACACACACACACACACACACACACACACACACACACACACACACACACACACACACACACACACACACACACACACACACACACACAGAAGTATGTATATAAGCTAGTGGGCCAGGGAACACCCTACTTTTCAAAATGTTTCACACACAGAGAGATGAGACAGAGAACAGGGAGGCAGTGACAACCTCTGACAGATTACCACACAATCAGCAAATACACAAAGTATCTGTGTGTGTGTGTGTGTGTGTGTGTGTGTGTGTGTGTGTGTGTGTGTGTGTGTGTGTGTGTGTGTGTGTGTGTGTGTGTGTGTGTGTGTGTGTGTGTGTGTGTGTGTGTGTGTGTGTGTGTGTGTGCGTGCGTGTGTTATGTTTTCAACCTGTAGTCTCCTGCCCTGCTACCCTACCAGGGGACTCTTCGGTAGAGGGATGGATGTTGAGTAAGGGGGGGATGCAGGAGAGGTGAGGGTGAGTAAGAGATGAGTCAACTGCCCTCCGCTATAAAGAAGCCCTTATGGAGCCTGGGAGTGACACACACACAGACCCTAAGAGGTAAGAGACACTCTCCAATCTCCTCTGCACTTTCTTTTATCACTCTCTCCATCTTACCACTATCATTCTCTATAACACTTTCACTCTTTCTCTGTCTATTATGCTTTCTCTCTCTCTCTCTCTCTCTCTCTCTCTCTCTCTCTCTCTCTCTCTCTCTCTCTCTCTCTCTCTCTCTCTCTCTCTCTCTCTCTCTGATGTAGTTAAACTTTATCTTGTCTGCAATGCATGGTTTGGTTTGGTTTGATTGTCTTTCATGAAGTGACGTGCCAGTTATTTTAAATTAACTTTTTACTTAAAAAATGTTTCTTTAAACTTAAGAGAGAACCTTTGAAAGGAAGCATGTGGAATATTCAGCAAGCCAAGTAGATCAGGTAGACTTGATCGACTGGTTTCTGGCTGTTTTCAGTAGGATGGGTGTAGTACAGTGAGTCTTATCTGTAGTCTATTTATCAGAGGGCAGGCTGTTCTCTCTAAGTGGGGATTTCACCGCTGACCCTCTGCCAATATTGATCTGTCTAAAACAAACATGAATCTCCAACCAAAACATGACATTGAAGTTTAGACTTTAAATATTATCAGATTTATATGTGAAAATTTTTCAAGTGGATAAGTGTACGTGTGCTCCACTACAGACCACAACAGAACAACCTGCTTATGTATATATTCTCTCTTACAGGAGTACCCGTGCTATTCTTTAAACAAACACAGAGGAACCACCAGGTTCTAGACACAAACCTACACACATATTGACACAGGTACACACGTTCAGGCACATACGCCCGTTCATCCAGACAACAAATATGGACTGCTCCATGGCCCTCCTGGTGTCCTCTCTGCTGGCACTGTTCAGCGTGGGGGCGGGAGCTTCACTCTCATTGCATGTAGTGAGAACCAAGGTCAAAGACCTGGCTCAAACCATGGTGATCAGGATCAAAAAGGTAATATATCTATCTATCTATCTATCTATCTATCTATCTATCTATCTATCTATCTATCTATCTATCTATCTATCTATCTATCTATCTATCTATCTATCTATCTATCTATCTATCTATCTATCTATCTATCTATCTATCTATCTATCTATCTATCTATCTATCTATCTATCTATCTATCAGTCATCCAGTCAGTCAATCATTAGTGTACTGATTTATGCAGTCTTTAGCTTGTTGATAATTAAACTTTAAAAAACAGTGTGTACATGAATCGTATTTAATCACATTTCTCTCTTCCTCCAGCTGGATATATCTCCTAACCTAATCGAGGGTGTGGACTCATTTCTCCCTGCGGCTGCAGTAGATCAGCCTATAGAAGGCCTGCCTTCCATAGTGGAGACCATGGGGTTCTACCAGGACCTACTGCTCTTCCTAGACTCGGCAGACCTCAAACAGCTGGTGGAAGACGCCTCCACTATGAGGGGTCTGCTGGAGAACTGGATGATGTCACACTGCTCAGGCCGCCAGCAGAAACAGACAGGAGAGGGAGGGCTGTCGGAGGCTCTGAAAGACACTACCAGGAAGTATGGTCTGAGCGTGGGTCCAGTGGCGCTAAACAGACTCAAGGGCTACCTCGGTCGGTTACTGCTGAACCTGGATCAGCTGAATTACTGTTACTAAGGTTGATCATCACTGAGCAACTGAACTCAGATCAGTTTGTGCCATGCTGAACAACTGTTACTGACAATGACTGTCACTGAGTAACTGAACTATGATCAACTCGTGATCTGCTGAAAACCTAGAATGAGTTGAAGCAAGACTGGACAGTGGGGTCATGGTGTCTGAAGATTCTCCAAGATTTAGATAATCCTTTCTGACCACTGTCAACTAAGTTATTAAGACATTTTATATTGTATTATTTAGACAAGGACTGTAGCTTTATTTATATTTATTTCTATGAAGAGAAAAATAAGCAGCTTTATTTTGTAGCATTATACACCCGTCAGTCAATGGCACAGGAGGAAGTGTTTACTTAGCATTAAATCAGCTGTAATGAAGAATGTACACACACACACATGTTGAAAAATGCTGCCTGCTCCAGTGAGGACTAGACTGCCTGTGTGTAGTGATGTCATCATACTCACAGAGAGGTTTTCCTGAAAGCTAAGACAGCCTCTGCCAGGAAACCAGATGTTTTGATGTTAGAGCAGTGACAGAGAGTGAAGGTGTGGGAGAGAGGGGGTGCAAGATGGGTTCTCAATGACATTCCAAGATGGGTTCTCAATGACAACGTTACAGTGCATTGAGATAGAAATGCATTGTATAGAACACATATGATTGTCTGTCCGGAAGAGCAGGGAGTCATGTCAGCTCTATTTCATTACATTTCTATCTACAACGTTCTGAATATGATGCCTCACTGAACACATCCCAACTCATTATCTTCTTGACAGTATTAGCATTTATGTCAGCAGCATACCACCATGCAAATCACTGCTGGCTTGCCAATTAAGCTAAGCAGGGTTGGTTCTGGTAGGTCCCTGGATGAGAGACCAGATGCAGCTGGAAGTGGTGTTGGAGGGCCAGTAGGAGGTACTCTTTCCTCTGGTCTGAAAAAAGATCCCAATGCCCCAGGGCAGTGATTGGGGACATTGCCATGTATAGGGTGCTGTCTATTGGATGGGATGTTAAATGGGTGTCCTGACTCTCTGTGGTCAGTAAAAGATCCTCATAGCACTTATTGTAAGAGTAGGGGTGTTAACCCTGGGGTCCTGGCTAAATTCCCAATCTGGCCATCTAATCATCCCCAGCTTCCAATTGGCTCATTCCTCTCCCCTATAATTATTCCCCAGGTCGTTGCTGTAAATGAGAATGTGTGCTGAGTCAACTCACCTGGTAAAAAATTTATACTGTACTATATTTTTGGTACATTGGAGTAACATTTTATGTAACTATTTAATGTTGGATGATATGCAAAACTCTATTTAATAAAATGGTTTCCTTTTCTATTATTCTGTCTTTATCAGTCTTTCTTCATCAAGGGAATCCTTTGATACACATAGGGCCCAACATAGGACCCAAACCTACACACTTCTCAGTAGTTGGTATTCAGACTTACCTTATGCAGCTGAGTAACTGGCTTTGCAGGCGTGTTCCCTTGAGCGCGCTAAATACATTTTATTCAACAGCTGAAAAACATCATGTAGTTTTCAGTCAATAGGGTTTTCAGTACATATATCTAAAGTCATCCCTTTAAATTTGGTGTACCTTTAATTAGAATTTTGTCTACAAACTCACTAGAATATATGGAGAGAATTATCCAGAATATTAAGGATCAATGAAAGAAAGCCATGTAAATTCACATATTTTCTTCTCCTTTTCAGCACCAATTGGTAGATTTAAAAATACTGTGATCTTGTATATTATTTAGGGTAAGGAAAGTATTTATGAATAATAATTTTAAAAAAGGTTTGGAGAGCCTTTATGCACAAAATATATTGGTGAATGAAAAAATCCATCCTGAAAGTTGCCATATTCTATGAAATATTGGAAGGTGAGAAAAGTGTACAATAGGGGTTGAACAGTAGTCCTATAAATGTACCCTAATAATCCTCACTAATCATGGAACTGTGATGACAACGGTCCAGACTAAAGTGAACTGTGCGCCAGGCTCCAGGTTTAAACTGCTAGGTATGGGCCCTTATCCACAAAGCGTCTCAGAGTAGAAAATTGGTCGTAAGTACTGAGAATAGGGACATTTCACTCCTACTCTTATGGGTAAAAATAAAAAGCTTTGCATGAAGCCTCTTCAGTCATAAGTGTCCCACCTAGTCGACAGATGCAGTATTTAGGAGACCTCATGAGCTATCCTAACCAGTTAAGAGTTATCAGTAGGTATCTTGATAATAGAAAAATGCAGGGAGTAAGTGGTTCCCTTATTGATGTCACTTGTTAAATCCACTTCAATCAGTGTAGATGAAGGGGAGGAGACAGGGTAAAGAAGGATATTAAGCTTTGAGACAATTGAGACATGGATTGTGTATGTGTGCAATTCATAAGGTGAATGGGCAAGACAAAATATTTAAGTGCCTTTGAACAGGGTATGGTAGTAGGTGTCAGGCGCACCAGTTTGAGTGTGTCAAGAATTGCAATGCTGCTGGGTTTTTCACGCTCAACAGTTTTCCGTGTGTATCAAGAATAGTCCACCACCCAAAGGACATTCAGCCAACTTGACACAACTGTGAAAAGCATTGCAGTCAACATGGGCCAGCATCCCTGTGGAACGCTTTCGACACCTGGTAGAGTCCATGCCCCAACGGATTTAGGCTGTTCTGAGAGAAATGGGCGTGCAACTAAATATTAGGAAGGTGTTCCTATTGTTTTGTACACTCAGTGTATTAGGCAATAATTAAGACTAGGCAAAGTGATCTTGTAATGTGAAAATTCAACTAAACGTTTTTACCTTTGCCACATTTGATGTACAGTCACATTCACCCATCATTTGCAACTTGGTCAATTAGCGCCATCACTATATTTCCTTTGCAGTACCTCAAACTTTCATGACTACCAGCTGAGATAAACTTTTATAAGTTGATTTTACTCCTGGCTCAGAGATTGTCTGGGCAGTGTCTAACATCATCCTAAAACCTACTCTGAGCTGGGAGTTTTTTTGTCTTAAAACAGCTTTTAACAGGATTCCTAGGACCTTTTCTGAGATGCTTTGTGGAAACGGGCCCTGGTCTGCGTTCCATAATGGTTCAGATAGGCTACATGTCCCAAATTATTTCACAACTTGTAATACGTTAGCCTAATATGATCCACTATTGCTAGCTATCCTTAGGAACAACCACACAAACATGGCAAAGGAAAGAAATGTAAACTAACAATGTAATGGAATGATGCAGTTACAGTTATAAATGTATGTGGGTATAACTGACGGTGGCTACCGATAGTGGCTACTATTTAACACGATACAAATTGTAAAACGTACAGTGAAAAGTCTGGGCATATAAAAACTCAGCAAAAAAAGAAATGTCCTCTCACTGTCAACTGCATTTATTTTCAGCAAACTTAACGTGTAAATATTTGTATGAACATAACAAGATTCAACAACTGAAACATAAACTGAACAAGTTCCACAGACATGTGACTAACAGAAATTGAATAATGTGTCCCTGAACAAAGGGGGGGTCAAAATCAAAAGTAACAGTCAGTATCTGGTATGACCACCAGCTGCATTATGTCCTGCAGTGCATCTCCTCCTCATGGACTGCACCAGATTTGCCAGTTCTTGCTGTGAGATGTTACCCCACTCTTCCACCAAGGCACCTGCAAGTTCCCAGACATTTCTGGGGGGAATGGCCCTAGCCTTCACCCTCCGATCCAACAGGTCCCAGACGTGCTCAATGGGATTGAGATCCGGGCTCTTCGCTGGCCATGGCAGAACACTGACATTCCTGTCTTGCAGGAAATCATGCACAGAACGAGCAGTATGGCTGGTGGCATTGTCATGCTGGAGGGTCATGTCAGGATGAGCCTGCAGGAAGGGTACCACATGATGGAGGAGGATGTCTTCCCTGTAACGCACAGCGTTGAGATTGCCTGCAATGACAACAAGCTCAGTCCGATGATGCTGTGACACACCACCCCAGACCATGACGGACCCTCCACCTCCAAATCGATCCCGCTCCAGAGTACAGGCCTCGGTGTAACGCTCATTCCTTCGACGATAAACGTGAATCCCACCATCACCCCTGGTGAGACAAAACCACGACTCATCAGTGAAGAGCACTTTTTGCCAGTCCTGTCTGGTCCAGCAACGGTGGGTTTGTGCCCACAGGCGATGGTGTTGCCAGTGATGTCTGGTGAGGACCTGCCTTACAACAGGCCTACAAGCCCTCAGTCCAGCCTCTCTCAGCCTATTGTGGACAGTCTGAGCACTGATGGAGGGATTGTGCGTTCCTGGTGTAACTCGGGCAGTTGTTGTTGCCATCCTGTACCTGTCCCGCAGGTGTGATGTTCGGATGTACCGATCCTGTGCAGGTGTTGTTACACGTGTACACGTGGTCTGTCACTGCGAGGACGATCAGCTGTCCGTCCTGTCTCCCTGTAGCGCTGTCTTAGGCGTCTCACAGTACGGACATTGCAATTTATTGCCCTGGCTACATCTGCAGTCCTCATGCCTCCTTGCAGCATGCCTAAGGCACGTTCACGCAGATGAGCAGGGACCCTGGGCATCTTTCTTTAATTGTTTATGGTTCATTGAACAAGCACGGGAAACAGTGTTTGAACCCTTTACAATAAAGATCTGTGAAGTTATTTAGATTTTTACGAATTATCTTTGAAAGACAGGGTCCTGATAAAGGGACATTTCTTTTTTTGCTGAGTTTATATATAATTAAAGCTGCACTGCGTAACTTTTGAAGTTTTTTTAGGGGATAGATCAGCTTTAATATTGCAGATAGATTGCAGTGGGTAAGTTTGTGTGTACAGGTGTTTTTGTAGACCCTTCTTGCTAGAATACATATATGTTCTAGATAGAACTCAATTTCCCAGAAACCCCTCTATCATAGGTACGTCAACATTTGCTCTGAGACTTTGTGGCTGTGGTATCTAGTGACAACCCAACAGATTCGGGAAATTTGAGACTGTGGATGCCGATGCGATTACAGTGATGGACAAGATTGATTATAACTCGATTCCATTTTAGAACCAATGTCTTCAGAACAGATACTAAAAATGTTATATACCGGCTATATTTCTAATTTTTATATTGTAATAAAAAATATAAACGTTTTCAGACAGAAAGGTAACTAACGTAAGCAATGTTAAGATAGCAATATGAAGATAGCTTTAGTACATTAGCTATCACACTTATGTAAAAAAGCAGTGTAAAATAATGATTTTTAATTATCATAGCTCTGCATTCACGGAAAATAACCTTGACAAGTCCTTTGCCCTTCTCTGACTCCTATCCACCTCATTTTCGAACGTTGCTATGGGCACAGCCAAACGGAAGTGATGGATTCGACTTCTGCTTTACCTTCCTACTGCAATGTGCAGGTGGAAAACTTGCCAGAGTAAAATATTTGAAATAGTAGGGTACCAGGGGGTAACTAGCACCCTGGGGTAACTGCCCCTGTAATTCACATTAAGACCACAAGATGTCACCAAACACTTCCCTGGCTGCCACTGCTCTTGCCCAACAAAAAATGTCCTCTGTGTCATCCCAACTTTTTGAGATATTTCAACAAAACGATTTAGTGGTACATTTTTCAAATTGTTGAAAATTTTTAAGTTGTAGATATATTACAATGAAGTTAGATCTATAATTGATTTTTAAATATACAAGTAGGAAAGCCTTAAGATAAATAATTCACTTCTTTAGAGAGAAAAATTTAGAAGATTTTTGAGTAAAGTAGTAATATGTTGGCTGAGTTTGTTGGGGGCAACTGAGTAACTGGCTTATGGTTATGAATGTGTTTCTACCTGTCATTTAGACAATGACTAGCTCAGTTAGCACTAGTTTATGCTAACTTGCTAGCTAGCAACTTCACTAGCAGTAAATGCTAGCCAGCTAGCTAGTTAGCATAAGTTGCTACCAGATCGTCTGAGGTAAAATACATTAAAAAGATAACGTAACTTAATTGTAGTTGTAAATGTTTC